GGTAATTAACCCACAAAGAGAACAGCTCAGTACATTTTCTACAAACCAAATTCTTCCTATATAATTTAATCTTTTAATCATATGCATTACTATAGGAGGGAGTGAAATTGTTATCTACTCAGACTGAAAGTATTAGATCTGGGTTGAAAGCGTACTGCTGCCTCAGCCATCAAACCGCTCCCCACAGGTCCGTTGGTTTGGGTTTTGTGCTGTTGTCGCCTTGGGGGTGTGTCAGATGAGAGATTGCTTCAGCCTCCAAGTGTGGGCCTGGGCTGTGCATGGCAAATGTCATTAGCAGAGTGCTACAGATCGTGGTCTGGGGCGAATGTGAGTGGGCTACGGTAAATTACACATCATAAATGACATCTTGTTTTAAAATTGAAAAGCTAAGAAAGAAACCCTGAAAACAAAGAAAGTTGAAATAGCATTGCATAGCTGTAATAGGGCATAATCAGACTCTGCTGCATGTATAGTCAGTATTGCCACTACCCACACAGGAGATTAAGGATTTTCTGTAACTTTGTTACACATTTGAATGCTGGCCTACATACAGAATTTTAATTTGTATCTGAATGTGTTAAAGCTATATATAAATACTGGAAAAATAAACTCATGATGCAAGCTGTGCTTTAATAACACAGCAATGGGGTATATTTTTATAGTAATTTTCATATCATTACTTGTGTTTTAATCTGTATGTAGCAGTCTGCATCAGACTGATAGCAAATATGCATAGCTTCTCATTCTGTGAATTCAGTGGTCATTAAAATCTCCTCAGCAGAAAAGTCCTATGAGCTTCAGTGAGATTTTAGTAGATCCTCGGGTTTTTGCCAATTCATTGAACAGTGCTTCATTTCATCCCAGGAACTGAAATGACCGTGCTTGGTAATCTTAAACAAGAGGGCAGGGAAAAAGATCTGAAGATAATACCATCCATAATGAATTACTGCTGATACACACCCTCTTCTTCTAACTGCCTTTTTAGTGCTTCTTTTCCATTTACTGGCCTTGAAACCAAAAGGAACAGTTACATTTCATTAACATTCACTTTTCTTCCCCTTCAGGCGTCGGGATGTGCTGACAGTCACACCATGGCTGGGCCCCATCATCTGGGAAGGAACTTTCAATTCCGAGATCCTAGACAGTGCCTACAGGCCACTGAATCTCACCATAGGGGTGGCAGCCTTTGCCATTGGAAGGTAAGTGGGCACAGTTCTCGGGTTGGTGTTCTTCCTCTGTGAAAAACTCATTTTGGCTTTTCTTGTCCTTAGCAGAGTTGAAATCTGTCCCAATTTGTAGGAAACTTTTATGCCCATGTGTTGTGTCCATAATCATATTAGCCTACAAGATGACAGACTCTGTGCCCAAGGTACCTAATGCATGGTCAGTGTTTTTAAAGAATTAGCACGTGCCTTGGGACTTAGAGCTGTAGATAAGTGGCTGGCTGGTCAAAGCAGGGATAATCCACTTGTTGCTTGTCCTCCACTATACTTCACCCATTGCCTGTGTAGCGTATGGATCCTTGCAGCCACATCTAGTCAACACTCTTCATCCCTTGTCTTCTTTCATTCATTAAAGTACCCTTCATAAACCACCATGCATCCCCTTGTCTCTGCTGTGCTCTTCATGTGTTGTGTCTGCACAGATACACAAGGTTTGTGGGCCGCTTCTTGGAGTCAGCAGAGAAACATTTCATGAAAGGCTATCGGGTGAACTATTATATCTTCACCGACAACCCTGAGACAATTCCCGATGTCCAGCTGCAACCTGGACAAAGATTTGTCATGGAGAAATACCCCAGCTGGCAAGAGATATCCATGCGCACGATGGAGGCTATAAACAAGCACATAGCAGAGACGAGCCATCAGGACGTGGACTACCTCTTCTGTCTGGCCATTGACATGGTCTTCTACAATTCCTGGGGACCGGAGACCCTGGGTGATACAGTAGCAGCCATACACCCTGGCTATTTCAATGTCCCTCGAAGCCAGTTCCCTATGAGAGGAGGAGCCCTTCAGCAGCCTACATCCCTGATGGAGAAGGGGACTTCTGCTACGGAGGAGCCGTGTTTGGTGGGCTGGTCAAGAAAGTCTATGAGTTCACCAAGGCTTGTCACATGACCATCCTGACAGACAAAGCCAACAGGATCATGGCAGCCTGGCAGGAAGAAAGCCATCTCAACAGGCACTTCCTCTCCTACAAACCCTCCAAGGTGCTTTCTCCAGAGTATTTATGGTATGACAGGAAGCCAAAGCCCCCTGAAATTCACCTCATATGTTTTTCCACAGTGGGTAAGAACTACAAAGAGGTACGAGATTGACCATCTGATCCCTGCAGAGGTGTTCTCTGCACAAGCAAACCCACTGAATATTAGCTCCCACAGAACATTTTTGTTCCCAATGTGAACAAACTGAGAAAGGAACATGTGGATAGTTTCTCTGGAGATCAGGAGACTTAATGCATTTCAGAAGCAGCAGCCAAAGTGGAGGTGAGAATGAAAAGGTTTCTAGGTTCCTAACCTTTGTAAAGACAAGCATCCCGCCTGAGACTGCAGCACACAAAAAAGCATCCAATAGGCTAGTTATCAAATGCAAGGCTGTCCTTATAGCAAGGCTGAGATGCCTTTGGTTGAGTGTTTTCCTGAGGCCTAGCAGAAACGTAGCAAAATCAGTAAGGTATTTGACATTCCTGTGCAGAAGAAGACGACCTAGAGTTTTAGTGAAGACCTTTTCACTTAAAAAAAAAAAAAAAAAAAGAATTTTGCAGAGCAATAAATGTTTGTGCATTGTTATTTAAACTCACACCCTTTCTCAGGATCAGGAGGAAACTTGTACTCAGAGCAAGTTATCCCTGATAAGCGTGCAGCAGGATTTCTTGGACCTTCTCAGCAGAGAGCTGGTGCCAGCCATTGCCAGCAAGAACCCTGGTCTGACAGGACAAATAGTGTGAATTCATACAGCAGTTATCTTCCAAATTCCAATCTGTGTTTTGGAGACCCGAGTTTAGACAGAACTGGCACAGCTCAGACCCAGACTGAACTTCTTTGGGTTTATTTCAATCGCAGATGTGCTCTGAACCTTTTCCCTGGTTCACATGTCTCTCTAGATCATGTAATCTTTTCCAACACAGAAAATCTGGTATTGAGAGTTCATGTTCCTATCCATTGCTTCAGTCCTTTCCAACTTTTCTAAGCTCTGTGAAATAAATTGGCTAGAAGCTGCTGGAAATGACACTAAGAGCTGGTGCATTTCCAGCCAACGGGGCAATTTCATTTTATAAAGAAATGCTCTACTGAAGCTGTGAGTTCAGTCTAGAGCTGGAAGTACCCTGGGGTTAACATTTTCTTTGCGTGAATGTGATGAGAAGCTGAACCAAGCATTTTGCAGCCTTTAAAGCCTGACAGCTTGCTTGGGTGAACCGGCAGGGGGGTAGGGGGTCCAGCCACAGTGGAACAGCCACGGTTCGCCAACAACAACCGCGTAATTGTCAACTGAGGTCACAGCATGGAGGTTCATGTGCCACCTCCCTTGCCGCAGCATGTCTGCCATAAACATCTCCGTTACCGCCCGAGGCGTGCTACCAAGGGGCTGCGCGAGTCTGTGCCATGCTCGTCTAATGTGAGCAGGGAGAGGGACCCCAGGGAGCAGCAGAGAATGGCAGTGCTGTACAACAGAGTGGAGAAGCAGAGGTGAAAGGGCTAAGCTGACTGTTTCTAAGGGAACAGTTTAAAAAAAAAGAATAATGGGCTCATTTAGCAGAGAGAGAGAAAATGGGGAAGAGGTGCCTGGCTGTTCTTGCTTCTCTTCGCATGAGAAAATTGCTGTATGGCAGTGTATCAAGTATTCAGAGCTTTAGGGCCCCACTACTGATTGCAGATGACTTAACGAGCCATTTCAGTCCCGTGTGAGCAGGCTGAAAATGGCACTTGCTGGTGTGGTTGTAAGCATTTAATCTTCCAGAAGACTGATTAGAAAAGCTTTCATGGTACCCATAATATAGATGAGGTACACAAAACACCTCCAGCCCCAAACCCCTAGTTTGTTAGTTCATGCTTCATCCTGCAAAGGGTCTACCCTGTGATAATTTCTTGTGACTGCTCCTAGTGCTGTGGTGCTGGAGGAAGGCACCTCTCTACATGACTCATCCAGAACTGAATCTCCTCTGAAGACGTTTGTATTTGTTAACCAGGCACATCATCTAAGCCAAAAGGGTGAAGAAAGATCCTTATGCAAGTATTTCCAAAAAAATATATTCCCACCAAACCCGGGTTTAACACTGTGTGCTTCTTATTTGTAAAACAATTGTGTCCGAAGGCCATGACTGAAACTAGGGTCTTATTATGCCAGTTGCTATACATATGCATATGGATTCTTTTACAGAAGGAACTGTCTAGTCTGATCTGCACAGAAGAAGCCAGATAATTTTACCTCCTGATGTCAGTATCAAGCTCACAATACATAACTGGCCTGTGCTAGATCTCTTAGAAAAGCATTCAGATCCGATAAAAACATGAAGTCATACAGCAGCCACACATCCATAGGTCAGTTGTGCCCCTGGCTAATTCCCCTTATGCCTGAATTCTGCTCCAAGTTGGTCTGTATTTGCAGCCTTTATTTGCAGCCATTGGGCTTTGTTCTGCCATACTAAATTACTTGAATTCCTGTGCAGATATTCATAGCCGATAGTAAGTCCACCATGAGAGGAAGTTCTCCAGCACAGGTGATGTGTGATAAGAGTGTGGGCTGTGTTTCTGGGCTACCTGTTCTGAGAAACTTTTGTGAAAGCCTTGGTCTCCGGCTCTGCTTCCTCGCCACATTTTGGCTGAATCCCAGACCCTGTGACTGACACGGTAATAGCCTGATTTGTGCAGTGCCAAACATGTTTATCCTCCCTCCTGGCAGGCCCTGCAGCTTCTCGCCAGGGGAAGGTCTTGTGTCACATTACCTGACACAGTTCTGCTCGACAGGGCTGTGATTTGAAGCAGTACCTAGAAACTCGCTGTGTCTCCAGGGAGCGGGAGCCTGGCTGCAGGAACACACTCCCCAGCGCAGTGTGGGGGCTGCTCACTGCGTCAGCTCATGCGCTCCTCTAATTAATGAAAGTCTGGACTTGTGTTGTCATCTCCTGCTGATTAATCTCCTTCCCCCAACACTGACAGCAAGCTTTTCCTTCTCTCTTTTGGATTGTGCAGCCTGAGACTTGTGGGTAGTGTGGGAGCTTCACAAGGACCTGCTTTCTGATTGGAATTCCCCACCAACATCCATTGCTCAGTGGGGAAACTGAGGCACGCAGTAACAAGGCAGCAGACTGGCACTCTTGCATGTGAGCTCTTCCTCCGTTCGCCACAGGGGACAATGCTGTCTCACGTGTCCTTGTGCCAAGGGAATTTGGACTTGGAAACACGCACGCAGTGCTGCATGGAAAGTGAATCACCACGTGTAAATAAATCATCAGTCCATTTACACTGTCTGAGGACCTGATCGTGCTTTCAGGGTATTTCTGACTCAAGCCCTGTTTGTCCTTAACCAAGCCTCAGATCAGTAGCTTGTTGCCTTTCCAAGGGCCCCTTGTTCCATCCGTCGATTTCTGCTTGGCTGGAACAGACTCATCATTCATTGTCCATCTAATTGAAGAACCCATCTGACAGGCGTTTTCTTTCCTTCTCCTGGCTGGTGACTTGCGCAGTGCATTCGTCCCCAAAGGGAAAACTTCTCTGTAGGGCAAGAAACAAAAACTTCCAGCACTGAAAATGATCCTAGGTGGGGCCAGACCATGATCCTCTCTTTCTGCCACTGACAGGACAAGAGTCGTTTTCCACTAAGGCAGACTTGCACCCTTTTTCACTCCTGTTTGGATTTCCCTTAACCCTCCCACAAGTGGTGGTGCCTGACGCTGCTGACCAGAAATGTCATTTTGAACCACTTTGGTACGCAGCAACAGTTACGAAAGGACTGGCCTGAAACCTTCTCTATGTGAGATCTGTGGCTGGGGGGCATGGAAATGAGATGGTCTTTGAGCAGACAGGGAGGAGGAAGGGTAAGAACATCCGTTACACATTCCCTGCACAAAACCAGCTTGGGGAACAGCCGTCTGTATCTGGCTGCCTTAACACAGCAGAAGCAGGACGGTGGTGGAAAGGAGCTGGCAGGCTGCGAGCTCCCTGCCAGAACGGCTGCTTTTACTCTCCTGCCCTTTGTCTCTCCTGTTTAGCCGGTGGCTTTTCAAGGAGGGGACTGTCTCTTGTCTGTATCCGCACAGGGGCTGGCCTTGGTCGCTCGCTAGTGAACATGAGATGCGCAGAATGGGTTTCTTTCTCAGCAGGGATGTGGTCTGATCGCAAAGGGCGGCTCTAAGCACCAGGGTTACTATTTTCTCCCCCCTGCTCTCCTTCACCTCGCTGCCCCATCAAGTCCCTGTGGGATCTCCAGGGATGAAACAGGCAGAGAGTGACAGTGCAGTGACCGTGACGGGCGCTTTCAGGGACAGCAGGAACCGAAGAAGGATTTTACGGGAGGTGGTTGCACTTTACTCACACTAAATCCCCAACCCTGCATTTCTGCTCTGCACAGAGTCCACAATCAAATAATTTAGGAGAGCATTGCTAGCAAAATGCCTCGAAGAAGTGACTTTTAAATGTCTGCCTACGCACCCAACTCCCTCCTTTCTCCAAGTGTAAGAGTAACGCTGTACTGACTTGACTTTTCTTGGGCTATATTTAGATGAAGCATAGATCCACCAAATGTTGCTGTTTCATGTAGAACTGGTGCAAAGCCGTATGAACGGAAAGGCAGTTTTAACCAGAAATCTCTGCTGCTGGTATGCCCACCTCATCCCCCCTGCCCCCCCCCCCCGCTGAACCTTTAGCTAATTTAAAGCAAGTCAGATGAGTACAAATTACTTTTAAAAAGTGCTTCTTTCTGGGTTTTTTTTGTAGTGAGGTTTTCCAGCAGCAAATTACATAGCTATAGACCTTTTGAAGCGTGTGTTCTCCCCCACTGCTCAGCACTGACACCGTTACTATAATTAGAATGATGTTGCTCTGGAGCAGCGTCTGGTGCCAGAGCGAGAGGCCTGGCAGCACCTTCTCCTCTCCTGGCTCCGCTCCCACCCCGAGCTGCTGCTTCTGCTGGCCTGGAGCCGCGGAGCGGC